CAAAGGTGGGTTTTGAGAAAAATCCAGAATAAAAAAATCATCTTTCCTTTTGATGAACTTATTTTATTGAGCAAAATACTCGTATGGTATGGTATGGTAAAAACGGAACGGTAAAAATTCCAATATGTGACAAAAAAAAATTGGACAGAGAAGTGTGTTATATCTAGGCCACAAATTATATAACAACTTACCTCCACAATTGAAATTGATACGCAATGAAAATTCATTTAAACATAATTTGAAAAAATGGATTCTTTATACGAATATAATAGATATTTTTAGTGACCTAGTGAACAATAAAATGTAATTAATAATAAAAAACTACCATTTTCTGATTCTGGCATGAGTACCGATAGTGAATATAACACACCTATTATGACTAACCTCCCGAATGTGAAATATTCAGCGTGGCTGACCTATAATGATTAATTTCCAGATTATGAAAAATAAAAACAGTATTGCAGCATCCCTGCATTCTAATTGCCCAGTAGATTTTCTCTCACGTACAAGCAAACACTTACTTCTGTGCGTATCTATGTTTATTTCATGGTATTTATGTAATGTTTCATTGCCTTTTGTTATTTTCTTGTTGTTGAATGAACATTATTATTATTATTATGAATTTAAAAAAAAGGAACTGTTAATCATTATTATTCCAATAAAAGGAACAAATACATCTGAGCATAACGTTTTCAATAAATGATAAATAATTTTTCCTCTATATTTGCGCAACGCAGAAGCGTAGTTAGTGTAGATTTGTCATTGCAGATGGCAGCAGTTACATACAGATACTTTGAATTTGTAAATGTGCTTGAAATTTCGAACGTTGTCGACTCGAAAGTTGTCCTATTAGTCATTGGACCCCACTAGACTTATATCCGAGTAGCCTTTACGGCTACGGTTTTGCCTAGTGTATCATTTCGAATTTCATATCTACCGGTCGTATGGGACTGTGATGAAACTGATGTTTGATTCAAAGATGAGAAACGTGTGAGTTATGTATACACACAGAAAGTATACCGTACTTCGGGATACTCTAGTGATACAGGACCGTATGGATTCGACCAATGTTTCTGAATGCCGGGATAACATATGCACCTCAGGTGTGTAAGACTGGCAGATCGAGTTTTGAAGGTAGACCGGTGGAAAATAATCAAAATACAATTTTTAATCAAGTTCACTTGGATGGTAGGTTATATGTAAATTATTAGAAAATTCCAGAAATTGAAAAAAATAATCAGGAAAACAAATGAAAACTATTGATTTGAAAAAACTTTGAAATATATTTATTGTAAATCAAGAGTTACACCAATTCATGATGATCATGATGAAGTCCTATGTTCTTCTGAAGTCCCATGTTCTTCACGACACCTAATTGAATCTGGAATCATCTCCATTGCGGGGTAATACGGAAAATACATTTCATCAAAATTATTCATTCAACTTCAGCATGAAAAAATCCATATCAGCGCATAACATTATGAATAAATGGCAGGAAGGAAATTATTTCCCTCTGCGTCCCGCGAGGGGTAGAATCGTGATAAGTGTAGACTCGTCATTGTAGATGACAGCGGTTACATTATATACAAATAATTTTAATTTGGAAATACGCTTGATATTTTGAACCTTGCCGACTCGAAAGTTGCCCATTAGTCATTGGACTAAACTGGACTCATTTCCATATAGCCTCTAGAAAGATCATTTGAAATTTCATTTCTATTAGTCCTTGGGGGCTGTGATGGAACTGATGTTTGATTAAAAGTTCAGAAACGTGTCAGTTCCGGTTTATGTGTGGTGGATAAATCGAAATACAATTGTTAATCAAGTTCACTTCGAAGATGGTTTATATGTAACTTATTCCGAAATTACAGAAATAAAAAAACATTTTCAGGAAAACAAATGAAAACTATGGATTTTTAACCTTGGGAATTCATCAGGAATGGTTGTTCGCTACTGAATTACAATAAATATATTTTGAAGTTCTTCAAAATCCTTAGTTTTCATTAAATTTTTTGACTATGATTTTAAATTCTGTAATTTCGGAATAGGTTACATTACAGACCATCATCAAAGTGAACTTGATTGATGAACTTTTAAATTTTGATTATTATCCAACGGACAGAAACCGGACTGCCTTCAAAGCTCGATCTGCCAATCTTGCACTTGAGGTGCATGTCATTCCGGCTTTCAGAAACATTTTCCGAATCCATCCGGTCCTGACAACGGGCTGGGGATACTTTGCCTCGTTCCCTGGTACGGTTTACTTATGTTCTGGGTGTATATACGTTTCTGAACTTTGGATTGAACATTAGTTCCATCACAGTTCCCTACGACCGATAGAAATGAAATTTGAAATAATAGACCAAAGACCTGTCGTAAAGGCTACACGGAAATAAGTCCATTAGGGTCCAATGAATAATAGACATCTTTCGAGTCGGCAACGTTCAAATTTTCAAGCTCATTTACAAATTCAAAGTATCTGTATGTATAGTTCAAGTAAACGATATAGTGCACCCTATCTTCCAGCAGTTTAAAAAAAATGCAACTGTCAGAAGGGCACTAAGTTGTATATTCGATAATAATGATCGGATTGTCGCGTACAGCACGTCAAATGAAAGGATAAGAAAGGCAGAATTTATCGACAAAGGAATAACAAAGATGACGCAACAGGTCAGGAAGGCACTAAGCCACATCTTCGTTAATGATAGTTGAATCTCAACGTGCAGCACATCAAATGAAAGGGAAACGAATGCAGAATGTACTGACAGAAAAAACGAAGATGGCGTAACAAATGTAATATCCAGCGCCTAGTGTGAAATAGCATAGGAAGAATTGCAAATTCAAAGAAAATCATTGAACAAACTTAGAATTGCAAGCTATTGTGTTATGAACTACTACGAGTGTAATCCAATTGCAGAAGTTTGATTTAAAACGCAGAATCTATTGACAAAGAGAATGAAGAAATTATCGTATACTGGTACATATGATATATTTGGATTAAAAAAAATCTGTTTTAAAATCTGTTTTAAAATCTGTTTTAAAATCTGTTTTTCCGTTAATCAGCTGCCGCCCCCATACGAATGACAACTCTTAGAAGTTGAGAAACTTGTGCGAGCTAAGGACTAACGAGGTCTTACCTTTTAACGTGTGATTCCTTGAGGTAAGAATATTTTGAATCCATTAAAAACAAACACCACTTTAGATTTTCACTTCCGGTCGTCCGATTTCGATGATTTCAACATCAATGGATTTGTTTAGATGTCATGAAACATAATCAATCATTTTTTGAAGCCAAACGGGTCTCATAACCTATTTCCATCATACTAGCCGCAACAGACCGATGTGGGTACTCATTTCAAAAAATTTCATTTTTAGATCATTCACCTAATGTGAAATAGCATAGAAAGAATTGCAAATTCAAAGGAAATCATTGAACAAACTTGGAATTGAAAACGGTTGGGCTATGAACAACTACGAGTGTGATTCAATTGAAGAAGTTTGAATCAAAACGCACAATTTTCCGACAAAAAAAATCGTGCTATATTGAAACATATGGTATATTTGGATTCCTTAGGGTGAGAATAATTCAAATTCGTCAAAAACAGGTCACTTCAGGTTTTCACTTCCGGTCGTCTGATTCCGATGATTTTGACATCAATGGATTCGTTTAGAAGTCAAAAAACGTAATCATTTCACGAAGCCAAAAGGACCTCATAACCTATTTTCACTATACTAGTTACAAAAGGCCGACGTGGACGACGACATTTCAAATGATTTCATTTGTAGATGGTTAGATGGTTTCAGCTGCTGTTGTTGGGATGACTCTGAACTGATACTGCACCCGTTAATGTATTGTGGAAGCTGCAAAAATTTGAAGCTCGGCTCAGTGTTCTCTTGGCACCATCTTTGTCTGTTTTTTCTTTGTCGTTGAATCCGCGAAAATATGGCTCAGTGCCCTCTTGACATCATCTTCAATTGTTGTTTCTCGGTCGATGAATCCTGCATTCGTTTTCATTTCATTTGATGTACTGCACGTTGAGAACAAACTGCTATTAGCGAAAATACGAAACTACTATTAACTGACATGTTTCGCCATCATTGTTATCCTTTTGTCGATGGATTATACATTCATTTCCTTTTCATCTGATGTGCTGCACTGCAACGGCTAAATTTTCAACAGCTTTCCCAGGACAAAATGCGTTAACGCGCTGAACTTCAGTTCTTTTGCATTTCGTCCTGTACTATACTTTGAAAACTTGGATATAAGTACAATTATGCTTATTTGGTTGGGAAAGACTATGATGATTTGTCGGGAGAGACAGATAGCAAGCTTCACCTTGAACCACTTATTTATTGAGAAAAAGAAAGGATATTTGTTTGGATGACAAAAAAAAGGTATATTATTATTATTGATAAGTACACTAATATTCTTTAAGATTTTAATTTATGAGTTAGTTGAGTGAAAAAGTTTAATTACTAATAGTAACGAGTAAATACTGATTACAGCATTGTATCATACTCGAGATTACTTCTGAGTTTACCACATATGAAATTCCTATCAGTCAAAATAGGGTTAGTGATGTAGCTATAAAAAAAAATATATATATATACTCAACGTGCGCACGTGAAGCTTACACTTTAAGGCTAATTCGTAATGAGTGGTAAGATGTCGTATAGTTGAATATGGAGAATTATATAATAGATATAAATGTAAGTATCATAAATACATATGTTTTCTCTACAGTCACAAAAAAATATCATGCATCTTATCTGTCACATAATTCAAGATTCAGGTTCAGATGTAACTTGGTAATCGGCGGGTGAACAGCATTACTGCACTCTCCAATCCAACTGCACAAAAGGTACTTCATTCAAATTCATCGAGGTACATCAGAATTGTGTCATGTACATAGAATTGTGTCAATTTATTTTGTTGTGCATAGATGCACAACAAAATAAATTGAAACCTATTACTTAATTACTAGTAAGAGTAAAACTACCTCTTTTGATGAGGGTCTACGATCATATATGAAATTCGGCAGCTTCTCGATTTTGTTGGAAAGTGCTGCCTGAAAACTTTCGGTTTCGAGTTACAAGAAAATTGTGTATGAAAATCTTCGACTTACGATTTTGTGGGAACAAGCAGCGGATGTAAATCCCTCTCAAGGTACTAGTTTTCAACCAAATGTCACGAATACATTTATAACGTATCTACATAAGAAAACATGAAAACTAGTGTAACATAAGATTCAGCAAAGAAAAGTCCCAAAACTTGGATGAAAAAAAATCACTTCAAATTCTTCGTGAACCGTTCGCTACTTTTTCGACTTATTCTCTCGTCCAAACTTCGAGAACCCGTTTCGTTTTTTAATCCCCTGGCATTTAACACTTTTTGTGGAGTGCGTAGAATGTTTTGCTTGCCGAACTTCCTACAATCTTTAGCTGTCAGTAGACAACCACAAATTAATTTTGTTCAATGGCTAGTACGGGGTGTTCTTGAATAGCCATGCTCATTTTGTTGTAACGCTGAACTAGCCGTTACAAATTCCACCTGAACCTATTGAAAAAAAATGACTCTAACTTGTTAAGGTGACGCCTTCAAGTCTTTGGCGTGCCAAGTTCTCCTGAATCTTCCATCGGAGTCCTTCATCTCATATGTCCAGGTTGAGACCTTCTTTGGAATGATAAATGGCCCCAGGTATTTTGGTGCCAACTTGGCCGAATAATTCTTCGCCGCATCTGATAGGACGTAATTTTTTCAATGAACACGATCCCTACAATTATAGGTAACGGGACGATGACGTAAATCATTAAGACGTTTATTCTTCTCTGCCGCTCTAACCAATCTTTTCTTGATATCTGCATAGAGTTCCTGAAACATTTTACTCCTATCCCGCAATAATGTGTTTCCTTCCGTTTGGCAGATGGGTGGCTGCTCACCCTGTTGGGAAAATAAGTTCGATGGTATTTCTCGTCCAAAAATAGTGAAATACGGCGTATGTCTCGTGGATTCATGAACTTGCGTACGTAATGCACAAGCCAGTTTGAAAATATTCTTTTCCCATTCTCGGTGGTTTTCAGAGATATAACACCGGATCATTGTTTCTAATGTCTTATTGACACGCTCTGTAGGGTTCCCTGAGCATGATAGAAAGCAGTAAAACACTGTCGAACATTATATGAACAGTTTTATCTTCCTCTTGAAGATGATCACTTGGTGATCGAAACACGTGTCGAGGTGTAAAAATAACGATTTGGTGTTGGGAAAAAACTCCAGTAATATTCATTACTACATCAAAGGCTCCAAACAGTACATCATAAGTATTATATGACTCAAGTAAGTTGTGGAACTCCTTAGATTTGAATTGGGGGCTATTATCACTTATGAGTACTTCCGGCTGCCCGCACTTAAAGAGAAGATTCTCTTCGATTGCCATACATACCAACTTTGGAGTAGCATTACAAAGTGGAACTATAATGGTAAACTCACTTAGATTGTCTACTATAACTAAAATAAATTCAAATCCGCGACTCGATCTAGGTAACGGTCCTATGAGGTCGTTGAAAAAGCCACCTTGCGGAGAACCAGTAAACCAGCAGGTTTCGTTTGTTTCGGTTTATTTTGACAACAAATTACACATTCTCGGACATACTTAGAAATGTCCGATTCCATTTTTTGGGCCAATAGTAATACTGCGCAACTCTTCGAAGAGTTTTGAACACACCAGGATGACCAGAAATTGGTTCGTCGTGGCATTTCTTCAACACTGATTTCCTACTATTTTTGGGTAACACGCGCTTCTATCTGTCTCCTTCATCTACTAGTTCCGAAAATTTACACTTGTATATACTCAACGTGCGCACGTGAAGCTTACACTTTAAGGCTAATTCGTAATGAGTGGTAAGATGTCGTATAGTTGAATATGGAGAATTATATAGTAGATATAGATGTAAGTATCGTAAATACATATGTTTTCTCTACAGTCACAAACAAATATCATGCATCTTATCTGTCACATAATTCAGGATTCAGGTTCAGATGTAACTTGGTAATCGGCGGGTGAACAGCATTACTGCACTCTCCAATCCAACTGCACAAAAGGTATTTCATTCAAATTCATCGAGGTACATCAGAATTGTGTCACGGATTCAACTGTCTGAGACTGGCTCAATACTAAGAGTAAGAGTACGATCCTAGAGTGAGACCCTTGAGTAAGACCCTAGAATGTACAACAAAATAAATTGAAACCTATTACTTAATTACTAATAAGAGTAAAACTACCTCTTTTGATTGAACCAGTAAACCAGCAGGTTTCTTTTGTTCCAGTTTATTTTGACAACAAATTACACATTCTCGGAAATACTTAGAAATATCCGATTTCATTTTGAGCCAATAGTAATACTGCGCAACTCTTCGAAGAGTTTTGAATACACCAGGATGACCAGAGGTTCGTCGTGGCACTTCTTCAACACTGATTTCCTACTATTTTTGGGTAACACGCGCTTCCATCTGTCTCCTTTATCTAGTAGTTCCGAAGATTTACACTTGGCATCAACAGCCTTATAAAGGTTTGAACCCACGATACGCCAGGCTGGGAATCTAAGAGGATTTTTTGAAACATTATCGAGCATTTTCAAGTACCACTTATCAGTTTTGATGTTAGATTCTTCGACGGTATCTGCAACTGAAACAGATCGCGAAAGCATATCTGCATATCTGAACGTGCTCCTTTCCCTTTCTGTGTACTAACGTGAAATTATATTGTTGAAATTTCAGCGCCCATCTCGCTAAACGTCCCGTCGGATCCTTAAGATTATTCAACCAACACAATGACCAATGATCGGTGATCACTGTAAAATGAGAGCCCTCGATATATGGTCGCAACTTCTCGATGCTCCACAACACGGCCAGGCATTCACGCTCTGTCGTGGAATACTTTCTTTCCTGCTTAGTTAGAGACCTCGAAAGGTAGCACACGACTTTTTCACCTTCTTCAGGATATGTTTGAGTTAGGACGGCTCCAATTCCATAGGCACTGGCATCGGTCTGAATGACGAATTCCAAATCGAAATTAGGACATGACAACACAGGAGCTGATATCAGTCGTTCCTATATCCTGTCGGTCAATCCAGCAAAATTTTACATTCCTTTTCAAAAGTACCGTCAAAGGTTGAATTAGAGAGGAAAAATTCGGTATGAACCTGCGGTACCATGAGGCAGTACCAATGATAGTACGAACATCAGACACTTTAGTGGGCGAAGGAATATTCAAAATTGCTTGCACTTTCGCAGGATCTACGTGAAGTCAATTCACATCAACAACATATCCAAGGTAATGTAGTGTTAAACCAACGGACATAAGCCTATTAAAAATCTTAGAAAGTATTTCTACATGTTTCTCAAACGTTTCAGAGACAACAACGATATCGTCCAGATGAACGAGAGCATATGGTTCAAGATCCACTCCTACAACCCTATCTATAAGTCGTTGCCAAGTAGCTGGTGCAGTATGGAGACCAAATGGTAGTCGTTTGAATTGGAAAAGTCCTCTTCCCGGTACAGTGAAAGCCGTATATTGCCGAGATGCCTTGGCAACTGGTATTTGCCAGTAGGCTGATTTAAGTTCCAAATTTGATAGAAATCTGGCATCCCTGAGGCGATCCAAAATAGTTGATACGAACGGGAGCGGATATGCATCACGCTTTGTAACACTATTTACCTTCCGGTAGTCCACACAAAATCGATATGAATTATCCTTCTTTCGCACCATGACTACTGGGCTGCTCCAAGGACTATTTGACGGCTCGATAATATCCTGCTCAAGCATTTTCTGTAATTCTTGATCCATTTACTTCATCAGAGTTGGAGTTACTGGATAAAAGCGTTGCTTTATTGGCTGTACGTTATTGAGAATTTCGATATTGTGTTCCACAGCATCGGTACATCCTATACCATCACCCATCTTTTCAAAGGTGTCTTCAATTAATTTGTTCAAAATATTACATTGCTCCGGAGTCAAACAACCAAGTGGGCGTAAAGTTTCTTGAGATGGATTAGTATCAACAGCGTCAATAATACCAAATTTCCATTCATTTGATCGTAGATCAGGAATAATTCCCATGCAAACCCAAAAGTCTATCCCAAGAATTAGAGTATGATTCAAATCGGGAACCACCAAAACATCTATAATTTTTTCAACTTCCCGAAGTTTAATAGGAACCCTAAGGACTCCTAGACAATTGCAATTGTTTCCGTTTGCCACCGTTACTAATTGTAACTCAGCAGGCTGTATATCAATTAAGCCAATGCTTTTGAGTAATTGCCACCCTTTATTCCCTACAATTGTTCTGCTTGCTCCAGAGTCCAGTAACCCAAGCAATTTTTTTCCAGAAATTGAAACATTCACATAAGGTCGGTCATCACCATTAGCATGAGATAAAACAAAATCTAAGACGAACTTGACCGAATTACATGAATCATCGACCAACTTTTCTCTTCGAGGCGTGGCTTGGTCAGTACCAAGCGCCTCGATTGATCGTTTCCCTGCAATTTATTACAACGTGGGCAATTGTGCACCGTGACGTTTTGGTAACCACACTTGTAGCAGTATCGTTTTTGTTGTTGTCGGCATGTAGTCGAAAAGTGCCCTAATTAACGACAATTCCAACAACGTTTTCCGTCAGTTCTTGAAACATCTGTACTTTCTATTCTGTTTGCACTCCTCTTCGTTGATTCATATCTTCGCATAGTACTCTCAGCTGGGGAAGAATGGTGCTCACTGGTGGAAGCATATGCTAGTTCTGGGATGAGACTTCTATTCTTATGCGGTGGTGGAGTATATGATTTGGCTAACTGTCTTTTTGCATCTAACTTCCGATAAGATTCTAGTAGATCAGCTATGGAGGTTATATTACCGAAAGCTAAGAATGGATGATAATATGGATCAATTCTGTTGTATCCTGAAAGTTTTCAGGATCAGACCAAGGTGTGGAAATTATAACACCGATACGTTATTTAAACTGTTAAATGTTGCACTCCAATTGTCAACTGCCCATGTGTCCTGCTTATCGCAGGTCGACCGAAAAGGTACAAAAAAGGATACTGTTTTTATATGTAAAGATAAATGAGCAAACTAATATATGACAAATTCTTTCAAGAATGATTTGCTGCTGGGAATAGGATTTCTCATTTTCTTGAAAAGCCCCTTCATACTTGCGATATACAGACCGAAATTTTTGTTTGTTCCCTGCGTACATCGTTTAATCTCCTCAAATAGATCACGATCAAAATTATCAGGAAGAAACTGTTCGC